CTTATTAAGCACAAACTATATACATATTGTACATTTTATGTTCGATTATGGCTGTATTTTCCGATTTCATTACCATATATTTATATCCCGTTACAAACGGTTTTAGGGCGACTACTCTTGCATACCAGATTATCAGTTGTTAGACATATTATTTTTACAACACACTCTTATTTTTCATATAATAAAGTACATTCTGGCTTAGATCAGAGGGTTGTTGCAAGCACGAGGTCTTTGCGTGATCGCAGTGTGTTATAAAACAAATGTTATAATATGTCAGAACGATATGACTTCATAAACTTTTCTAATAACGAAAACAATAAACTTTAATAAGATCAAGGTTTTCATAGTGTCATGCTGACATATGTTATTAAACGTGTCCCACTAGGACAGATACGAGACACTGAGATAATAATCGATAATTCAAGTGCGCGTGTATTTACAAAAAAATCACATCAAGATAGCTTCAAGTATTTGATAGGAAACTGTAAATCGCCAATAAATTGTACAGTAATACATGTCTTTTTGTTTGCATCAATTCTTTATGAATAAATTATTATCTTATCACACACATACTTTTTTAATTCCCCCACAACTTTCAGCAACATTACTCCTTTCTTTATTTTTCAAACCCCTAATACTTTCAGCCACACTACTTTCTTTCTTTGTTTCAAACCCCTAGTTATATGTGCCTCACTACTCATAACTTTACTCTCAAACTCCTGCTAGTTACACATGTCCCCATTGTTTATAACCATATTTATATCCCGTTACAAACGGTTTTTCTTGCATACCAGATTTTCACTAGCAAGCTAAAATTATGTGATTTACAACACTCACATATTTTTCATTATTATGATAAAGAACATTCTGGCTTAAAATCAGATGTTGCTAGCACGAGGTCTTCGCGTGATCGCAGTGTGTTATAAAACAAATGTTAAAATATAACTTCATAATCTTGTCTTATAACAAAAACAATACACTTTAATACGATCAAGGTTTTCATAGTGTCATGCTGACCTATGTCATTAAACGTCCCACTAGGACAGATACGAGACACTGAAATATTAATCGATAATTTAAGTGCGCGTGTATTCAGACAATAATTTTATAAACAAATCACATTAAGACGGATAGGAAAGTGTAAATTGCCAATAAATTGTACAGTAATACATGCCTTATTGTATGCATCAATTATTTATAAATCCTATCTTATCACATACATACTAACCCCACAACGTTCTGCAACAATACTCCCATCCTTTTTTTTAAAGCCCCCAATACTTTATGCCACATTGCTCAAACCTCTCATACTTTTCCGCCACATTAGATCTACTTTCATCTTTTTTCAAACCTCTTATACATAATTTCTGCCACATTACATCCATCTTTTTTCAAAACCCCTATGGCTTTCAGCCACATTACTTTCTTCCCCTACTTATAAGTGCCTCACTTCTCATAACATTACTTTGTTACATATACCCCCCATTGTTTTGGCGCAAAAACCTGTCAGTGCCGGTGTCGCGTGAGATTCGTCAGGACCGTGAAAAAAGTAAGGCGGGAAGGAGCAAGCTTATTTTCCGTCATTAACCACACCGACCCGTAGTGAGAGGTACGGTGCTTTGTAATACAACTTAATCCTAAATTTGTCAAAAAGTTTTATATCATACAATAGAAGCAATTTATTAAAACATACATAATGTCACAACATACATATGTGTAACACCTGGTGATATGGGATATGTTGTAAACAAACTAAGTATTGTCCGTTAATTAGGTATCTCGGTTAGTTTTGATAGCTCGAATAAACGAAAGATTTATTGAACTGTCGTTTTTTACATTTTACTAGTTATGTTTCACAAGTTTTCCCACTTTTTGTCCCACATAATATTATCATTTTTTATTTCCTCATATACCTTATGTCTAATCCCTCATATAATTTGTCTCTCCGCTCATACTTCTTTCTCAAATAATAATTAACATTGATTTTAATAAAACAGATTAACTGAGTGAAAAAAAGCGATGGCGTCTTAAATGTGCAGCATTAACATTAAACTTGTTTTATGCGTACATGTGGCGTTTTTCTTGACACCTTAAATTGCTTGATAAATAAAAGAATATTGGAAAGCAAAACAGTGTCCTTATATCTCTTTTTCATAGATCCATGTCACATTTGCTCTTGACCAGTCTGCTGGGATGATTCAAGGGATTTTTGGAATAGGGTAGTGATCAGAGGGGCAATCTGGATCCAGAGATTTTTTTTAAACTAATGGTTTAGGTTTTTTGGTCCACAAGCTTTGTCAGTTTTTAGAGTTGGCGATAAAGAGTTAGATATCTTAATTTCTAGAGCAATGAAGAAGAAAGGGGAGATCACTTTAAAAATAAAAAGAATAGGGGAAAAGACAAAAGCAATCTCCACGCAGTGATCTCCCCTTAATTCTTCGCCACCAAGGTCCGACATATCAGAATTTCTGATATACTATATTTTTTTCAAAAATTGTTTTATCTACTGCTTATATCTATCAGATAAGTTTTTTTCTCAATTATTTAACAATGTTTATGAATGAATAAATAAATAAATAATATGAATGTTTAGAAATAATTTTAAAAAATATAAGAATATTTTCTACCGAGAAAATATTTTGCTATTTTATATTTTTTAGCTTTTGAATTTATTTTTCGTTATTTTGTATACTTTTGATAATTTTTTGATAAACTATATCGAACTTAGGCACTGAAAGTTAAAAATAAAACAGAAAGAGAAAAATGACGCAAGATTGTCGATGTAACGGTCGATATTTACATTTGAATTTCGACGTTACGTCATGTGACTTTCGTCATCATGTGACGTCTTTGAAGGCAGTTATTACAATTGTGCCAAGGGAGGTAATCACTGTGAGGAGTTTGAGACAGTATTGGTACTCTTAAATGAGTGAGACTAAAAAAAAGGATTGGAGCACCACACTAAATACCGTATTCCGGTATATACCGGGCAAGGCGCTTGAATCATAAAATGCTAAAATCTTGCCTTTTTACACAACGGAATGAACTGAAATAGGTCTAATTCATCTTTTCACACCAATTTATGTATGATAATGAATGAAAAATGTGAAAATCATTGCTTTTCCATAATGGGCGAGTGAATGAGCGCACGTGCACAGTGACTTATTCCACTCTCTGTGACGTTTTAAGATGGCTGCTGTCGTTGAAGTCACACAAAATTTTAAGTTTCCAAAGATGACATAATCAGTCGCAGTCAACAAAGCTTAACATATAAGATTTATAAAGTCAGGTAAAATATCCAATTACTCTGCTCAAGTCAAAACATCAATCTCAGAAATTCCAAAAATGACTTCAGATTTGACGGTAAATGTACTGTATAGACATGAAAGCAAAATTTTTAGAAACAATGTATCTATATGTAGTCGTGTATGTGATATAAATCTTGATCTAAGTCTAAATCTCCAGATACACCTTAAGAAAATATTAGGAAAGTTTGCAACAAAGGAAAAACTAGAACCATCAACAAAATTGGAAAAAGTTTTTGGGTATTTTTGACTTGACATCATCGAAACTATTCTTGCAAACAGTTCGTAAAAAAACTAGCACTAAGCGTTATGTTCACAGTATTTTATCGATATAAATAAGAATAAAACAACATTTTCTCATCTTTATTTTGTGTTATCACGTTTTCTAAGTTAATAACCAGGGGTTTAATTGAATGACAGAGTTATATTCTCGTAACTTATGTTTCATATACATGTTGTACAATGCAAAGCATCAAAGGCGAAGCCAACATATATGTACAGTATATATCTAGATAAAAAAGTATTATCTATTGTCCACTAATTAGTGTCAGTGTTCACAGCATAATGAACAACAACAAAACAACAAAATCAAATCTAACCTTAAACTGCTGGCTGTTACTGATCTGGGCTTTGCACTTCCATTTTGAATATACCATTGATCATCAATAAATGGACAGACACAAATATTATTGCTGACTTATGGACAGTGTAGATTGAGATAAGACTAAATGGATATGTAGGCTGACCTTAGTCTGCATTTACCAAGTGTACAGGAAATGTTTAGCATTTTAAGGATAATAATAAAATTATGAATAAAAACTGAGCCATTTTGTTAATGGTAAATGGTAAGTTATGGTAAATCAGATTGTACCAAGATTAACGGTGATGTCTAAACGCGGTATTTTCGGCGTAGGTATTAAAAGCGTAAATATTTGTTTGCTGCTGGCCATTTTGGTCTCACCCCGGTACGGAATTAGGCCGAACCCGTTGTAGTTTAGAAAGTAGTTCTTTGAAATTTTGAAGTTGTCCAATTTAAGTAATCTCTTGCTTGATTGGTCATAATTAAAGCGTATTGATTGCATTTGTGTAGTTTTTTGTGTTATATGGTGACTTTAAAAGTTGTTTTTTGTGTGTATTCTCTAGGACCTCTTTTGTTGGCGGAAGGATTAAAGATGTACTACCCACCAATAGTCAGGAGTTTTTTAAGTGGTGAATTTAAACAGTATTACAACAGAATGAAGATTTCTGAAAAAAGTAGATGGCTAACACATTATATTTTGGGCATTATTTGACTTACATAGTGTTGATGTTTAAAGTTGTAGACAGTATATATCTCATCAAGAACAGTGGGATCCAGAATTAAGCCTCAAACGTGAATGATTTACTATAGAACAAAGAGTACGAAAATTCACTGGGCCGAGGCCTTATGCGATATATACCAGTCGGACTTGTGATCTCGACTTCAAGGTTCGATTCCCGGGCTGGCCAACTTAAATTAATGGCCCTCGAATTTATAATGTTCTTTAGACGAACGTCCCTCAGGCCATTATGGACTTCTTCAGGCCATTCTCGCATAATGGCGTACAGCGACCAAGTATTAACCTCTAAATCTCGTGACGGCATTGTGAACCATCTTATTAAGCTTGTATTTATTTTTTTTAAAGCAGGTTTACTTGTCACTTCATAATCCTGTACTTATAGTATGTATTTTTTAGTCTGGTTCGTTGTACGTAGATGCGGTATATTTGAGCCTACCGCGCAACACTTCCGCCGGAAGAAGTCCTTAACTTCCTGTCTGAATCTACTTCCGCTAAGAAAATAAAGCACAAAATTAAGAGTACAGTTTAAATATGCTAACATGTTTACTACGGCCCACCAAAGTAAAAACACTGCAAAATCGTGGAACGTCTCCGATGCTTCCAACCATTTTACTTGCACAATCATAAACAAAGATATAGGAGTTGAACAAATTATGAACATGATGTTAACTGTAATAAGCATTGTTGTTAACTGTGACATTTTATCAAGTGTACGCGCTGCTTGTCTAGTACTTGGTGCTATCTGGACACGTTTGTTCCGTTTCCGAATAGCTAGACGTACAATTATCGTGATATTAGCGATGGAAAGGATTGTTAAAGGGACTATTGAAACAATGCACAAATCGATCCAGCGCCAGATATAAAGAAATATTTGGTATCTGTCTTCCATTATGGTCTCACAAAAATATAAACCCGAGGTGTTCGTGATTGGGTAATATGTTATCGTCTGCCCGTAAAACCAATGTAGGTTCAGTAGAAATAGCAAGGCGATTACCAACATGATTATGACACCTGCCTTTTGCGGGCTACAAATAACCTTCACTCTATGCGGGAGAAGTACACCGATGAAACGGTCCATGGTCACACCCACCAAGAACCACGAGGAACATTGAAAAGAAAAGTACACGAGGAACAAGTGGAACTTGCATCCGAATTGCGAGAACTTTCTAAGATCAATGTCTATTAAATAAACAAGCCAGCCACGAAACAGACCTGACCAAAGTGCCAGCAAGTCTGATACTGCAAGTGCTGTGAGAAACAAAGATGTGGAAGACTGGCGATTCTTTCGTTGCATCAGCACAATAATGGTCAGTAGATTCCCGGCCGTACCTAATATTAGTAATATGGGCGGAGCTATTTTCCATAACTGTACGGCTATCCGGTACTCAGCAATTTCTAAATATGTTTCCATTTTGCCGGTTTGTTTCTGTTTTTCTGAAGATTTCTTGTTCTAAAAATAATAATGTGTATATAAGTAGCATGTGAAAATGGACATAACAAATGTGCTGCATCATTTTTTTTTATTCAATCTTACAAATAGTGGCAAAATTTGTGTTGGTTCAAAGATACATGCCTCCAGATGAGCCAAAATATTGTTCTGAGATTTTAACAGAAGTAAACAGATTCAAGATTCACGCCATAATCGACACGTTTTGTTTGGTTAATGACTTGTTTTTCAGTATTTATCAGCATATTTTTAGGTCCTGGCTTACGCATTTTTGGTATAGTTTGACCTCTTTCTGGTAATTTATGTGAAGTAAAAGTGCCGCTTGCAATGTTTGTATTACTTTTTAGTTCACTCCACTATGTTTTACTTTGTAAAACCAATTGCATGTACCTTAAAAAAATATCATGACAATTAGCATGAATCTGAAGGCATGCTGCTTTAATTATAATAATAATAATAATAATAATAATAATAATAATAATAATAATAATAATAATAATAATAGTAATAGTAATAGTAATAATATAATGATAATAATAATAATAATAATAATAATAGTATTAATAATAATAATAATTATAGTAATAATAGTAATAGTACTAATAATAATGATGATAATAATAATAATAATAATAATAATAATAATAATAATAATAATAATAATAATAATAATAATAATAATAATAATAATAGTAATAATAATAATAATAATAATAATAATAAATAATAATAATAATAATAATAATGATAATGATAGTATAATAATAATAATAATAATAATAATAATAATAATAATAATAATAACCATAATGATAATAATAATAATAATAATAATAATTTTTAAAGAAGCTAATGCAGGCAGAAATTGCATCATACAAAACAAGTAAATAAACAACATTACCTGAACACTATATCACTATATAAAAAGCCAAAAAAAATACACAAAATTCAGCATCATCAAAAACAACAACAACTAAAACAATTGGTCAGTAAAATAAGGACCTGAAATAACATCATTTGGTTGATTTGGCAAACGCTCCTTCATAACATCAAATATTATTCATACGATTTTTTTTTCATTTAGAAATAATTCAGAGTGTAATGATTTCACAAAGGTATATGATTTCGGCCAATCTTGACCACTAATGGCGTGACGAATACGTTTGAAAATGGAGTTTTTAATTATTTATTGGATTGCTTTGTCTCTCGGGGCCGCAAATTTTACGATGTTTATATAGAATGATTTCAAATCATTTAAAATGATTACATTATAATATGTACGATCTAATGTCACATCAATGAAAAGCCTTTTTTTGAAAATTTTAATAAAAGGATGTGAGCACTTAAGTTGATTGATATTTAATGGAAGAAATTCAAATTCATTATTATTGTTACTACTATATCACTCATTATTACTTCTAGATACGTTTGTCAAGCGTATTGTTTTACATGTAAATGCTCAGAAATCACATTTAAACTCACAGTCACAGTTTAATAATTTTCTTCCACCATTGATAACGCTCTGTTTCGGCGCCATATGACCTGTATGTGCTGGTGGGCCGTAAAACCAAACCAAACGTTTCTGAGATGCACATTTATTGGCGTCCGCGCCGAAGCGCGGCGCTCTTATGGAATGAGATCAGATTTTGTGAAAGGGCGACAGCAACTTCTCGAGCCTTTTAGTCGGTCATAATAAAAGCCGAAAATTCCGATCGGTATGAGGGTGCTTGATTATTAAAAAAGAATGAAATGTCGCGATATGTTACAATGAATTTTCGCAATGCAAACATTTACAAATGAAATAACCTTTTCCGTCAATAAATCGCGCTCTTCGGGGTTTTTTATTTATCATTTTGTAGTACACAGTCGGTTATCATGTCATGGTATGTTATTGTTGTACATGTATCCTAGAATGATCAGTTGATGACCTAAATATTCCAAAAACCTATTTATACATATATCTTTTTATCACTCCTATCGGTGAATGCCGGTCTCTCCCGGTCTATTTTGACCAGGATTTACTAGTGACCGGCGAATAGTACCACACGTTTATTGTCCGGTCTCTCCCGATTTTGGAGTAGATGTTTGATATCGTTACAATTGGAAAAAAACAACAATAGCATGTTTCATTTTATCTATATGAGATAAAAACAATAAATATGTACACGGATTTATATGTAATATAAATCCGTGATATGTACAATAATTGAGAAAAAGGTACATTTTTTATGGTATTAAAATGACATTATCAACTTTGAAACATTTTATTTAATTATTCAATTTGTTATCCGTGTTTAGTAAAGATGCCGAGGAATTATTCAAAGTTACAAATTAGATTTTATGAATTATTCAATTGATCGATAATTTAAAAAATGATAAAGAAAAATACAATGTACATGTACATGGTTTAAGAATAAACAATATTATATATTGAAAGATAAACCATAATTTACTGACTTTTTCCAGTTAAGCTTTTACTTATAATCGTCGGTCAATATGACAATTGAATTCTTAAAATTTATTTTACAATTTTAATAAAAAAGAGTAGTAAAAACTCAGTATTAAAATAGCACATAAAACACAAAAAAAGAATAAAAGAAAACAATATTCATAAAATTTGTATTTTTTTTTTTAAATTAAAATTAATAGATATTACAATTATTGTATAATAAACAATTATGCTCAACATGATCAACATGGTAATATAACCAGTGTCATATTTTTACTAACTTAAAGTGTGAACAGATACCTTAAGGGGGTCTTCGCTAATAGCGATAACATGTACATAATAAGGGACAAATGTGTGGTACGTGTTGATCATGCGTTACACATATGGATTATAAATGATTGCATACATGTATATCCGTTGCTATTAATAACCACGATCATAAAGAAATAACAAGTAATATTCTAATCTCTAGCATGCCAATCAAAGTTCATAATGAACAATGTCTTTCGTCCGCTCATTCATAAGTGGTATACATTTCTGGTAGTTTATAAGAATATCTTGTCATCATATGTGTACTAGTTCATCTTCACTTGCTGCATTTCTTGCTTGGACGCCCTTTGATGCTTTGCATCAATGCTTTTCTTGTATTATTAGTTATAAAGATTCTTGACAGGTTACATGGCCGTATATAAACGGTTATTTGTATATATTACCCGCGCCGCGAGGGTTATATTGCAAACAACCGTTTATATTCGGCCATATAGCCTGTCAGGAATCTTTATAACGAATTTATAATATAGCAAACTTCTTTTTTAAGGGAAAAAATGTGATTTCTTAATAAACTGACAGAATCCGTGTATATAAAGCTATAAAAACGTCACGATTATCCAATGAAAAGCGACGTTACAAGCGTGCAGTATTATAAAATATTAATGAAAAGTGAACGTTTTCAAGTCATTAACAAAAGAAAGAAGAGCTACACGGAGTTCCAAATTTAAAATAAATTTTAAAAATATAATCTTACCTGCGGACAATTCATCCCATTTTTATATATTTATAATTTTTGAATTATTGTTTCAAAATTTTTTATTTAACAAAGTATACATATGTATATCCTTCAAAACTTCAAATACTTTATATTGATAAAATTTTGCGCTTTAATGCAGTGCATGTATTAAGTTTCTATTAAAATAAGTTAAGAGAAAATGGTTAAAGGATGCCTGCGTCATCATGCCAGCCAGAGGGAAAAATTCCGCTTAATAAATATTTAAGTATATCAGTTGAATATATTCCAAGGGGATTGAAAGCTGTCATTTTATTCAAAGTCGCCTTGAGGAAATTCATATCAAAGAAAGATGATCGTATTATAAATGTAAGATTATCACAAGGCGATATCAATTATAAAATCTATTATGCAATTGTAATGCAAATTTCATTATATAGCTGAATAATTCAGATTTGGTTATTATTCAAGCCTTAATGCACGCATACTCAACGCTTACATGTCGCAGTATTGGTTCACATTTTTACGCCGTATATATAGCTCACGCTCGACGATTATGGCTCTGTAGGAGCACATTTGTCCCGGAGCACATTTGTCCCGGAGCACAATTGTCTTACGTGATACCGATGAATGAGACAAATAGGACCCCAAATGTCTAACTAGAAAACACATTATGAGTACAAATGTGCTCAAAACAATTTTTTAAGAGGACAAGAAAGCACATCTGTTTCTTTAATGAAATTCAAGTGCATTTGACACATTATGGAACGCCGTGACTGTCTTATGTGATCAATGTTTTTGCTATCTTGTGAAACGATGATATTATTTAGTCATTTGAGTATGTTGACATGTGCAATTCACATCATGTCTTGTCAAAGAATAATGCTGCCTTGTGCAAATAAGATATTAACGTGTCAAAAAGTAATGATGACTTGTGCAAACGACTTGTTGACTTGTCAAAGTATCGTGATGACTTGTGCAAATGACATGTTAACTTGTCAAAATATAATGATGACTTGTGCAAACGACTAGTTGACTTGTCAAAGTATTATGATGACATGTGCAAAAGACATGTTAACTTGTCAAAAATTCATGATGGCATGTTTACTTGTCGAAATATCGTGATGACATGTGCACAAGCATGTTGACTTGTCAAAGTATGGTGATGACTTGTGCAAATACCATGTTAACTTGTCAAATTATTATGATGACATGTGCAGACAACATGTAGACTTGTCAAAGAATCGTGATGACTTGTGAAAACGACATGTTATCTTGTATAATGCCGACATGTCAAAATGCACTATTATCTTGTCAAAGTATTATGAAAACTTGTGCAAACACCATGCTAACATGTCAAATTATCATGATGACATGTGCAGACAGCATGTTAACTTGACAAAGTATCGTGATGACTTGTGCAAATGACATGTTCACTTGTCAAAATTTCATGATGACATGTGCATACATCATGTTAACTTGACAAAATAACGTGAGGACTTGTGCAAAAAG